ATGAGAAGAAAAACAACTTTCTCAATTCCTATTTATAGACAACTAGCTAACCTATTAGTTATCCATTTCCATTTGTTTTATTTTTTGTGATGGATTAATAGTCAGTGTTGTTAATTGATCTTTCTTTTGTCTCAGGTACCAGGTAATCATAATATTAACAGTTTATGTATTTTGCTCCACCTTATTTAATTTTCATGGGCTGTTAGACATATCAGCATGTTGGAATGCCTTCTTTCATATTTTTTTCTATGGGAACACTGTTGCATAAATTGTCTGCACTAGAAGTAGCCATGGGTGAAATGGCCTTGCTTATTAAATGTCACAAGATTTAATGTCACAGTATAATTGGGATGGAAGGATAATTGCGCTAGGCTCTACATGTCTTTTTTCTGCTCACACATTATTAATCCACAGGAGTGTTAAAATATTTTTAATAAAGGCCCTATTCACATGAAAACTGTTGGCACTTGCTAAAAATTACACTATTTCATTGCTTAGCTTTGAGAATTTCTAGTGTAATTCACAGCAAGTTTGATTTTCAAATGAAATTACAGTAGGAGTCTGCACTAAAAAATCCAACATGTGTTTTCGAAGGATTTTTTTTTTTAAGAGTTAAAAACAGTCTTGTGTTTGAGGCATTCATGCCTTCTAGTGTTGCACTTTTGGTGAAAGAATGTGATCTGCTTCTACCTTTATTACTTTCTCCTGCCTGCCTACACACACACACACACACACACACACACACACACACACACCACACACACACACACACACAACTAGTCCTGGGAATGTGCCAGCAATAAAAAAAATAAACCAGTAACGTGAAGTAAGCAAGTAAGGTAAGTCATTTGACTGAATTCTGATTAATGAAATATGAACTGAACCCATATTTCAGAAAATCCTGCCCAGAAAGTCTACATGTGCTTTTTTATTCTCTGCACGAAATAAAAGATTTACACAGACTCCAAAATCTGATGCTTGCTGAATTAAATAATAAAAAAGAAAAATGATGGTGGTACATTGTTGATAATGTCAAACTCATTGTGATATAGTAGGACTATCTCGACTTCATGTTTTTGTTTCTTCTTTCTTTTCCTCTTGTTTTGCATTTTTATGTAGAATCAATTTACTAAGAATCAATGAAAAAAGTCACTTTGTTAGAATGTTTTTTTAATTCAGTCAATGATCTTGATTAAGCAAATTAACCTTGTTGTGGTGCATATTTCTGACCAGTAACTCAAGAATCTGCACCCAATCATGTCATATATTCCTAACCTATAGGTACTTCTGTAGGTCATCTCACCTGTTTCCATGGCTTCATGCAGAATCTACCCCTCTAAATAGTATGGACTATATGCAAACCTTCATAGTTTTAAAAAAACAGCTTACATCAAAAGATTGTTCTCTATGAAAGTCCAATTTAGCATTTTTATACTGTTTTGGTCAAATTTACCTGTAAAGAAATCTGCTCACTCCATAACTCATTTCAATTCTCATTTGTCTTCTTTTCATAAAATATAGAAATTCTATTAGTGAGAGAAGTTTGTTTTTCCTAATACGTTTTTACTAGGCTAAGCCAAATCTTACCAGTCTTTTAATCTTTCTTTATGAATAAGTTTCAAAACTTCAAACAGTTTCAACTTTTCTATATGTCTGTTTCATAAAACAGTGATATAATTGATCTATTTGGTGAAAAAGGAAGCAGAAGCAGAAAAGAAACCTATCCAACCAGATGTTTATATAGACAAAACTACTTTTAATTCAATGCTTTTTTTGTCATGCAGTTTTTATAGCCTGAAAGAACAAAATTTAAAACAGTACTCAAGAAAAATTACAAGGAAGAACTTTAAAGGAATAATTTTTTCATGGAATTAAAATGTTAGATAGCTATGCATATTTTATAGTACAATTTGTTTGGATTTAATTTAGTTGTAATAATAGTTACTTTCAATTCAGCTAAGCATGTTCCCCTTAGGTTTCTTTCAATTAAGTATATTTGATCAGGCCAGAACTGGCCATGATTGAAAAATTTAGAGGCATATAATTTGCTCCAACCTTATTTTGTTAATTTTAATGGCAAGAACTCAATACACCTGTTTATTTGGAGGAACTACAAGGAAAAAAGACAGTACAGAAAATTATACCAGTGAAAATTGAATAAGCCTCACAGTCTTAAAAAGTATCTTAAAAGTCTTAAAAGGATAGGTGTGGTGCAGGGGACTCAGCTCATAATCTCAGAGCCACTAACAGCCATACCATTTGCTTAATAAATATATAAGCCACTGTCCACCCTACACACCCTTTGTATAGCTTATTTGCACTATATATAGAGAAGGAGTCATATCCAAATTCTACCTAATTTTTTTACCTCTATCATCTGAACATCAATTTTTAGTTGACAAATTGAGTATAACTTGTTTTGTGAATCTGAGGTTTATAAAAATTAGAATGGATAAAGCATCTGCCTGAGTGCTTTGAACATGGTAGGTAGTAATGGGCAAAAAGCTGCAAGTAGCTCCTCACCTTTTCTGTCCTTTAACTGGAGTTTTCTACCTACTTTGAATCTGAGCCTCAGACACTTGTCTTGAACAAAAGAAGATGGCAGAAATATTATCATGCAACTTCTAATGTCACTGAGCCTTAAAAGAGCTGTGGCTTTCAAGTCTCATGTGCGGATGATCCTTCTTTGAATCCAGCCACCAGCCATGAGAAATGAATATTCTACAGAAAAACCTTTTGGAGAAGGCACAAGGCGCTGGGGTTAACAACCTAAGCTGAAGGCTCAGCTACCTGTCGTTAGCTACTCCTAACCTTGTGAGTGAGCTCTGCTAGACGTTTCAGGCCAGCCAAACCTCCAGCCAACTACACACAGAAAAGAACATTCCAGCAGCATCTAGACAACCCACAGGCTCGTAAGAGATCGTAATTATTTTATTTCTTGAAGCCAATAAGTTTGGGGTACTGTTACAGAGCAACAGATAATCAAAGTGTAGCCAATTAACTAAATGAAATGGTTGTTACTGTTTTCTCTAATGATAAAGAGAAATACCATATATTGGTGTTTCTCTTTTTATTTTACTTTAGGGTCAATTATGTCCTATATTCTACTCAGTGCCAAAGCAGTGGGGGAAAGAAATAGGTGATTTAACTTTAAGTTAACTTTATTTTAACTTTAAAGGAGTGGTGCTTGCTTTCTTCTGTACCTTCCCCTGTAGTGAGCAATCTCGCGTTCTGGTTCCGTCACACACAGTGGTGAGTTCTTGCAAGATCTAACACAGCAGGACAGAGAACATCAGATACCACACCTGCATAAACGTTGTAAGGCTCAAAGACTCACTCACTCTTCTTGCCTATGACCTTCCCAGATTTATTTTGTCTGTCCATTATTTTTCTCCCTATTTTTACAGCCATCATAGATTTAGCATGAACCCTATCTGTCTCCATTTCCTATCTTAATAGACTTCCTATATCTCCCTGTATTTTTAAAAATTCACTCTTTGTTCAGTGTTTTCCTTTACCTTTGCTCTTGACTAGTTATCTTTCTAAACTTGTGACATCTGGGAGATGCTTCTTTTTAGACTTCCAGTTTTGACTTTTCTTCTTTACCCTGAATCATTGTTGCTATGAGCAGAGTGGCACTGGATTAGTATTATTTTAATTGCAGGGGTATAAGACTAAAACATTTTCCCTTTAGGACACAAGCAAGTGGAAATTATAGTAATTTAAGAGCAAAATATTTAAGTGATTCTGAGTAAATTTCCTAATAGAAGTGATAAAAAATAAAACACACATTCCCAAATTGTGTAACTAACCTCATTCTTTGTTTTTAATGTTTAGCAAAACTCTTAAGTCCTTTGAAAGTAACTTCCAGGGGTGCAAATTCTTGCAATCTTTGGTGGGACTTGAAATCAAATACAATAACTGAGAGCACCTCAGCCATTATCAAAGCTTGGTTGGCACTGTTATTTTAACGTTTCTCTGCATTTGGAAGCAACCTTCCCTCTACCCAGAGATCACAGTCAGCTCAGAAACAGAAAACTCAGTGTACATTTGCAATGTAAAAAAATGATTATTATAGAATAATTTGAAAGTTTTATATAAAAGTGATTTGAAAGTTTTATATAAAAATGTACTCGATTCAAGAAATTTTCTCTTAGACATAGTGCTGTAATTATTTTATTCTTTGGCAATTTTCCTATAGGCATCTTTTCATTGTGTTGTTTGATTTGAGATCACTCAATTAGACATAGAAATCTTATATTGTATATCACTGTAATAGTTCTGATTCCATGAACATTTGAAAAACAATCTTTTAAAAGGCATCAGTTTGAAACAATGTTTTCCATGCTTACCCCTTAGTTTCTAGCGTCTTGGCTGCCTGCCTTTACACAGTGGGTGGCTCTTGTATTTCATGAAATCCCCAGTGAGGACAATTCAAATTTGAAGGGAAAGGAGACATGATCTGATAGCAAGAAAATCAAACAGGTAAGGAGCATCAGTAGAACTGTCTGTAAAATATGGACTTGTACAAGGACTAAAGCTTGCAGTTCTAATGACCTGCCATTATCCTGGGTGGCAAGGACCACTGGTGCAAAAGAAGAGGCCACTTGGTGATGTTCCTTTCAGCTGCACATTGGGATAGTCACCTCCAGCTTCACGCCTTCCAAAACCTGTTATTCACTCACAACCACCTCCTGGTTGAGGCTGGAATAGTAATGTTTTCCGTATTAGGAAATTCAGGTTTTCTAAGTTGCTGAGTTTCTTTTTAAAAATTTTTTACTAAACTTTTAAAATTTTTATTAGTACATGTTTGAGGTACATAACGATTACATTCTTGTGGGGCACTGGTACATGTATATAACACATCTTAATTCTTGTTTCTTCCCTTTCCACTCCTCTTCCTGCTCTACCTTCCTAATATTACTTCCACCTGGATACAGTCTAAGCCTGAGAATGAGGTAGCGGGGGAATTTATTTCATCTGACTCACTGGCTTAGGGACTTCCTGCTGGGTAGAGCTGTGTCATTTTGCAAATCTATGTAATTTTAAGACACGTAAATTGGGAGTGGAAGTGGGGAAAGTTTTAAAATCACATGGAAGATTCCATCCGACCAATGCAAATGAAGAACTAGAACTAGTTATCTTAATAGTGATACAGGGGAAAGAAACTCCTAACCCATTAGTTGTCTGGTATAAATTCGTGTTCTCTAAAATCGAAGAATGAATTTTAGAAACAACGGAGGAGAATATATTTATTGAGAGAAAGAAAGCTTCTGTTTTAGGAGCGACAGACGGGGTCCTGAGTGGGTTGTGATTGTGAAAGAGTTCGTCTTTTTTATGGAGTTTTGTAGAGCAAAACCACAAGGTGAGGCTGGTCCAAGGTAAGGAACAAAATGGGAACTCACAAGGTGGGTATAAGGTGGGACACAACCATGGTCGACCAATAAGATTACAGGTACAATTTGTTTAGGGAAATTTGATTAAATCGAGGACAAATGGGGGAATGAGAAACATAGCAAATGAACATGAATATAGAGCATGGGCTGTGTCTGTAGGGGTTGGGTTAGTGACTCCTCTGCCTTCCTCAGGGTGATAGAGACCTATTTATAATATCAATCCCTGATGTTTATTCTTAGCATGTAGATGTACTTGTTCGATATTTTGTCTTGAGGTCTGGCTCACAGCGGGAGGTATCTGCCTCCCCCACATTTGCAAGGTATCTGGTCTTCTGCACTGGTTTCTTCAAGGGCCCAGCCATGTCTGACTGCCTATAATACTTCTAACTAACTCAACTGCCTGTAACAATAGGGGGACACTTTGTGCATAATTCTATATTGAAATTGTGATGACACATGCATTGAAAACTACACTTTAGTATAATCCTTGATTCTTGCCAAGAGGAGGACCAAGGAAACAAGCTTTCCAGGCAAGAGATCTGTAAATAATGTCATTGTATTTAACTGTGCCAATTAAGGAGAATTTGTGGCAGTCTTACACCTATGGAAGTCAAACAAGAATAAATTTTGCTAAAGAAATATCCAGGGTGCTGTTTATCTTTTTCTGCATTGGTCAGATGCAGCAGCCCACCTAAATAACCAACTCTGAAAGTACCTGGTCTCTCTTTTTTAAAACTCAAGAGTTTTGTAAAGGAAATGTAAAGATTAGAATGAATAACTGACTACTGATGGAAATCTTTTCACATGTAGTTAACAGAAAAAATTTTCATAACTAGTCAATACATGGCCTTTACTATTAATCACAACAATTTACCACTTCTTGTTGTACTAATACAAGGTCACCTCCTTCTAACAAAATATTGAGTAAACACTTGAGACTCCTAAGGGTTTTTTGTTTTTTTTTTTTTCCTTTCAGAATCTGCAGTTGTCTCAAAAAGAGTGTTAGCCAAATGTCTGCGGTGGTCTTAATTCCTGTCAGTGTGGTCTACACTTTGTCCAAGGTGAGCAGCTGAGTTCTCTAGAGCTCTTCATTTGGGTAGCACTGAAGCTCTGTCACTTGATGTGCTTTTGCTCAGGGCTCATCTAGTTCTGCGATATGTTTGCTACAGTTTCCCACACACTGCTGTCTCTCCGGTCTATGGCTTGTCTTTACTCTGCTGACTCATGCTCTCACAGCAATGAGAAAGATGTTCATAGTTCCTATTTTCATAGGGAGTCACTTTCATATCAGTCTGCAATATAAATTTAAAATGTATGCCTGAGCTGTAGATATTTATGCTAATTTAAAAAATTTTTCAGATTAGATATCTGTGGTCCCAAAATATGCATGCAATATGCATGCACTCATGATTGAAACTTTCATTTATAAGTATTTTTTTAAATTTTTATTTAAAGAGAAAAAAAGCAAAACAGGAAAAAGGTAGAAATAATACAGAATTTAAAAAAACACTCAGAAATCACTAGTTGATAAATTAAACACCATCATCTTAGAAATGGTTGTTCAAGTTACAAAATTAAAGCACACAAAGTAGACATTTCAACAGTGAGACTGCAAACCATTCTGCTCAATGACCCAACAAAACTTAGCAATATGGTTATCTAACTTACATACTGAAACATACATGCAGTTATATCCTTTAGAGCAATTTCTTTTCCTCTCTTTTTTACAATAACAATTACACATTTTGGGTTTTATTACTCCTATAGTTCTTATTAATTTTTACACTAGAGATACAATGTGATGTTTATAAATATGATTTTATTTCACTTATGAGGATAGTCTCAAGTTGCCTCCATTTACCTATGAAGACTGCAAGATCATCCTTTTTATAGCTGAGTAATATCCCATTGTATAAAAATACCACATCTTTTTCATCCAGTCTGTGGTTGATGGGCATTTTGGTTGTTTTAAAGATTTAGCAATTGCAAATTGTGCTGCTATGAACATGGGTGCACATATATCACTGTGACATGAACTTTTCAGTTTTTTTGGGAAAATATCCAGGAGGGCAATAGCTGGATTGAATGGAACTTCCAATCCTAGTCTTCTGAGAAATCTCCATAGTGATTTCCACAGTGGCTGCACCAGCCTACATTCCCACCAACGGTGGAGAAGTGTTCCTTTTTCTCCGCAGCCTCGCCAATATTTGTTATCAGTTGATTTCTTGATGGTAGCCATTCTTTCCGGAGTGAGAGGAAATCTCAATGCTATTTTAATTTGCATTTCTTGAATGACCAGCGATGGTGAACATTTATTTCTTCATGTATTTATTTGCCATTTGTATATCTTCATCTGAGAAACGTATGTTCATCTCAGATGCCCATTTTTGGAGAAGGTCTTTGAATTTGGGGGGCTTGATGTTTTTCAATAAGTCCTATGTCTGAGGAGTTGCTGGCTATAATTCTTTCCCATTCTGTGGGTCTTCTTTTTCACTCCACTGGTGATTTCTTTTGAAGTGCAGAAACTTTTCAATATGAGAATCCAGCTGTTGATTCTTTGAAATGTTTCCCATGAAGTTTGTGTTTTGTTCATGAATTCTCTGCCTATTCCTATGACTCCAAGATTTCTATTTACCTTGTCTTCCAGTAGATTTCTGTTTTAGAACATAGATCTTGGTATTTCAGTAGTATTTCTGTTTTAGTATTTAGATCTTTTATCCATTTAGACTTTAGTTTTGTGCATGATGACAGGTATGGATCTAGTTTCAGTTTTCGGCATGTGCAGAGTCAATTTTTCCAACACTTATTTATTAAAGAGGTTATCCTTCTTCTGGTGAACATGTTTAGCCCCTTTGTCAAATATCAGGTGGCTGAGTGTCTTTGTAGTTGTGTTTGTGTCTTCTAATCAGTTCCATTGATCTTCAGGTCTAGTACCATGAAGTACTTGCCAGTACTATGCTGATTTTATCACTGTGGCTTTGTAGTATAGTTTCAAGTCAGGAATTGAGATGCCTCCTGCCTTGCCTTTGTTGCCCAGAATTGCCTTTGCTATTCTAGGTTTCTTCTGTTTCTAAATGAATTTTAGGAATGTTTTCTCTAGATCTATGAGGTATGTTAATGGTATTTTGATTGGGATTGCATTAAAACTGTATGGGAGTATGGTTATTTTCACAAGTAGTATTTTGTTTGGTATTTTGATAGAAAACATTTCTTATTTTGACTTGTGAGAAAAGAGAAATTTGGAAGTTAATAAACTTTTGGTATTGAATGTATAACAGTAATTTCTGCTCACATTTGGGACTATATGTGAAAAGCTTGAGTAATTATATAGAGTTTAAGGAATAATCTTACTTGTGATCACTGTTAAAAACTTCTCAATGTGGAACAGCTCAGTATGCAAAAGGAATCATGGTTTTGAGCAGATGACTTGTAGTTTTGTGTAATTCAAGTTCTTTGAGCCTTGGTTCTCTCTCCTATAATTCCGGGATAATACTATGAACCTTAGGGATTACAGAAATACAGGTAGAACATTTAGCATAGGACCTGCAAATAAGAGTGGTCAATAAACGAATACTATAATCCTCATAGTGAAATGCTCATTTATCCAAAGTATGAAGGCCAAAAATTGTTGAGATTTTAGAACAATTTCAGGCTGAACCAAATGTGACTGAGACAACAGATTTTGAAATAGTTTAATCTGGAAACCAGGCAAAGAGATGATGCACCTTCTCTATGGCTGAAGGGTTGGCTATGAAGGAGGATCTAATTGTCCTCCACAGAGGTGACAATAATCTATTTAAGTATGAATACACATTTTATTTTAAAATATAAAAAGCTATACAATTCAGCAATTGTCCCAAAGAATACACCAGGAAAATGAAAAAAAAAATACACCAAAATTTGTTAATGCGTCTTTAGCAACATGATTTAAAAAATCCAAAGGATATTAACAACTGTCTCCAGTGCACATAATTAATGGATAAACAAAATATGGTGTTTCTATACAATGGAATATTTTACAGACATAAAAAGGAATCAAATGCTGCTAAATGCTAAACCTGGAAAAAATCTGAAAACATTACACTAAGTGGAAGAGCCAGTACACAAATAACCATACATTATGTGACTCCATTATATGAAATGTCCAACATAGGTAAGTCTATAGACAGAAAATACATTAGTTGATGCTTAGATCTTGAAAATCAGAGGGGAAGAGTTTAGGGGGTAATAGCAAAAGGGTGAACTTGAGGCAAATTGTCTAAAATTGATTGTGGTGATGGTTAAACAATTTGTGAATGAAAAACAAACATCTAGATTGTGCCTTCTGAATTAGTAAATGGTATAGTTTATGAATGATACGTCAATAAAGTTGGTACAAATAATGGCTAGGGGAGTGTGCTGGGTCACATCTGTAATCCCAAAACTTGGGAGGCTGAGACGGGAGGATCGCTGTCAATTTGAGGTCAGCTTGGGCTACATAGTGAGCGTAAGGCCAGCTTGAATTACATAAGGAGACCTTGTCTCGCAAACAAACACACAAATAAGACTAAATACTGGAGAATGTTAACAGCTGCAAAGTTTTAATTTTATAAACCTCTCTGTATAACAATGTGGCCTTACAATTGTTAAAGAGGGCTGGAGACTGATTGCAGAATATTGTCATTGTGATCATTTCTTAGGTTTTTGCTGGAATTTTTCCTACTTTGGTTTTGAAAATAATTTCACCCTTGATCATATCTGTAGAAATTTCCTCCTCAGGGATTTTTATTATTCTGAATTGGCTCTCTCCATTCAGAACAGAAATAAATAATGCATCATATATCACAAAAGTAGTTGCTTATAGAGGCATGCGGCATATGAAAGACACATTTGTACTACAATACGGATATAAATGAGATAAATGTTCCATTTTTGCTTTCTTTGTCTTTTCCCATAACTATAACTAATGAACCACATATTTAATGCCCTGGGTACAACTAACTGTCCTACAGAAAGAACCAGACAGAAATGAGAAAAACACATGCCCAGTTGGTAGTGCATCAGAATTGTTTAATTCTGTAGCAATAATAATTTTGGCAGGAATGCAGTAGACACTGCGATAAAGACTATGATAATGTTTATCTAAGGTAAGAATGCATAAGGTGCAAAATGAAATGTTCCACCACAAACAGACACACAGTTTGGCGACAGAACAAAAACATTTCATCTATGGATACTCCTATGACATGTTGGGGAGACTGTCCACAAAACTCTCAGCTTTCTGTAACACTTGCATCATGAAAAAATGCCTGTTTTTGCCACCTATGGAATGTGAAATCTAATGCATAACGAAGCTCATAATGCGCTCCTAAGTGTACAGATGAAGAATTTGTTAATATCATGGGAAACTGAAGAAATCTTTCTTCTCTTGGATTTGTTGTCTTCATATAGTGGAATCTCATTACTTCCCACTTCTTTCATTATTTTGTATTCTATTATGATGAATTATATTCCAGGCTCTAAAAAGTCACACAAAACATAATGACACAGAATGAAACCCTGTTCATCACAAAGTATTATTAGTTATGATAATTTCTGCATCTGAGAGAACCACAAACCGTGCAGCCAGAGCCAGTGCTGAAAGGAACTGCAGACAGGGGTGGTTTGGTGTAACAGTGAGAATTAGGAACTGGGGAGTCCTGATTCTACTGTTTTGGGGCTCACCTGAGTAAGCTACCACCCTCAGAGCCTTAATGTTTTCATTTCTAGGGGAGCTGTTAGGCAGGTTGACTTCTCTCTGTGGGATATTTTTTAAGTTCTGGGAGTCTATAATTCTGTAATATAGAACTAGACAATAGAAAAGATGAAGAAAATAGAACACACATATTTTTGAACATATTTTAATTAAACCCTCCTTATAATTAACTTTATCTTCTAAGAGTATTAAGCATTATGGTTTTATACTAATAAAAATGGAACAGTTAAAGCCATTTCAGATACTGCTTCAAAGAGAATTATGTAATAAATACCTGACTAATGAATAAAACCCGATTCCATATGCTATTACTAACAGACACATGACCTATGTTAGAGAAAAGCATTTTACTCTATTTATTCAGGGTAGACCAACTTAATTATACTTGAGGCTATGATGTGAATATATTCTTAAAAATTATTTTTAAGGATTTTTGGAAATGTTTTTCTCTTTATAGTTTATGAATACTCCTAAACAGACATAAAACTAAATTCTTCACAACACTTAACATCTAAGTAATTCACACTGAATATTTTTGCTATTTACAAAGGCTACTCTCCTGGCCTTTGAAGTACTAATAGTTTATTTGGATAATATTTTGGAATATTAAAATAAAAAAGTGTATTCTATAATATGTGCATATAAATTAATATATAGAAGATATAGAGTATGTATGTTATATTTGAATAGATATATATGTAATATAAAAATTAGACATGAGAGTTTGAATATAGAGGTAGCTTAGGTTGTCTAATTGATTAGGCTATCAATTTCACTTTTGTTTCAATAATACAAAATAGTTTCATCTGTTGGTGTAGACCCAAATAATATCTGATAGTTGCTTAGTTGAACAAATATATGTGAGAACCATACTAACTTCCAGAACTATACAAACTACCTAAATATCAAGGCTATCCCAGGATTGGTGAACACCTAGTGGAGTGAACTTCCGTTTCTTTAGTTTATGTGAGCAGTTCTCAGTGAACAGGCCTATTCTCATCACTACTTACTTTTCCATATAAATGCCAAGATATTCAATGATATTTAAATTTCTGAAAATAGCTTGAGTATGCTATTTTGGGGGGAGCAAAGCTGTATGTTGTATTCAGAAATGGTGTTATTGGAGCTTCAATCTTAAAAGTTTTTCTCCATGAGCGTAAAGGGTAACGTCAAACATATGGCTGTCTGGATTTGAAGTAATTTTTTTTTCCAGAAATAAATTACTGAACTTAGGGCTTTGCTTCAATAATATCTCATTCAAACACATGTGGCTGGAAACTTTTGGTGATGCTTTTGCAACTGGAACTAGTTCAGGAAACATGGGTGTCTTGGTTGCTTTCCTTTTTGCTGAGACAAAATACTCAACACCCAAAGATAAAGGAGGAAAGGCTTGTTTCAGTTCACAGTTTGTAGAGGTTTCAGTCCATAACTGGCTGGCCCCGGGCAGAGGGGCATCACAGAGGAGAAACAGTAGGTTTAGGTAGGTAGAAGGCAGTGGGAGCAGCATGTGACTGGCAGCAATGCTCTTTCTGTCTCATATTCTATCCAGGAGACACCCTGTTTGGGCCAGTAACACTCACATCCAGGATGAAGCAACCTCAATACCCACATCACACTGTGAATCAATTCTAGCATTATATTCTCAATCCCAGCATCATGCACCCCATATCCAGCAACCTCTGAAAAGCCCACTTATGACTGCATGAGGCTTTAGGGAAACATGTAGATACAGGGTGACCATAACAACGGGTGATGTGGTGAGATGGGAAAATACTGCGCGGTTATCCTTTTTCTAAGACAGAATCAGACCTTCTACAACATCTGTTGGCTGCCTTGTTTTATGCTGATTTTTTATATTCTGGCCCTGAATGATAGCTATGGCAGTGATATATCAAAGAACTAGAAGGGTAACAACAAAATATGACAGTGTGCACACCTTAGCAACCAGCAGACAACACTCTTGAACAGTGTTCCTTAAATATGGGATTCTCCTTTACCATCTGTGTAATTTGGTAAGTTATACATTCTTTCTTATTGGTCTCATCTTTCACATAAGGGAATTAGATGAATTTAAAAATGGCTTCCAAGAAAAAAACTGATGTTTGAACACTGTTTTATAGCTTGGAATTTCTACTTATTCCATGTAGTTCATATCATTTCTGCTTGTTCTTTATGGCGTTCTTATTTTACAGATAATTACATTGAAACCTTGCCTAAGGAAACCTTGAAATAAATGTGCTAAGGTTCCTCTAAATTATTCAGCTGCTATGCACACTAATGTGGTCATCTTAACAAACATTTTATTTCAATGTATTATGGTTTTCTAAAATATCATTTGTTTATTTTTATATTACCAGAGAAAAATCTAAAGGGCTAAGAAATCATGTGGATATCAAACTAATAAAATTCTATTATTGATTGAAATTTTATTGTGTGGCATTTTGAGTGTTACTAATTCAGCTATTCTTTAAGTTTATTGCCCTTGTTTTGCATATGAGAGCAAAGAAGCTTAGAAATTAAGTACATTGTCAAAAGTGGCATAACTACTAAGTGGCAGAACCATGTCTGGAAGTTAGATTTTTTTAAAAAAATGACTAAAAACCTTCTCTACAGAACACTATCATTATTTTTTCAATCAAATGAGCAAGTATGTAAAAATAAAACTGTATCTAGACTTCCATGTTACGGTCAGCAGGCACAGTAAAATAAGATGCCTAACATCTTAGGTAATTTCTTTTATAACTGGTGTACTCAGTAATGACACTATCCTCTTGAGTACGTTGTTCTTGTTCTATTCCCCTCAACTATTGCTCAACGCATTGCCTTAAAGTCTATATAAGATGAAAACATTCAAAAAATATCCATGTTCTTTTGGGCTAAAAGGAAGAAATTTAATTTCTCTCCTTAGGAGACCAAATTGCAAGTGCACAAACCAATTAACCATTAGCAGCTGAAGAAGGAGACCAGGGAGTCTTGCACAATTATATCTTCTAGGAAGGCTCAGAGGACTATTTTATTTCTTACAAAGCAGCGGTATTAAAAGGTAAGAAGATAAAGTCAAAAGAATTGAAAAGCCTAAATCCCTCTGGAAAGACTCAGAATAACCATGACATGCATATACCAAGACAAAAAAAGACAAAACAGACCTTTTAATCTCTCTCACATGGGCCTTTGAGATTTAAATGGAAAAAACAACTTTTATTTTTGTTATAACTTAGTGCATAAGCTTATGTTTTAATTTGCAGAAGTATTAAATTGTGTGCTAGCTACATCTTGGTGGAATTAATGTTGAAAATTATATTTCTAAAGTGAATAATTTAGCCTCGTCTCTTGTCTCCATAATGAAGACGTCAGTGAAAGGCATTGGCCATTGCTAGTAGTTTCCATGCCTAGTCCTATACTCAAAATGGCAGTTTATTTTTGCTTGTAAAACCCAGTTGAGTAAGACGTTTTAAATGAAGTCTCCTTGTGCATATTCACACATATAAATGTCTGTGGATAATATAAAGGCTCTACTAGCCTCAGATTAAGCAGGATCATTTTTGGTTTAATTGTGTGTCATTCCAAGATTTACAATAGTTAAATGTATCCATGAGGCAACACTGAATGAAGATTCAGAGGCAACTCTGTTCCAGATTTTTTAGTCAGACTGACTTATATGTGTATATTTTTGTCCCATCACCACTGAAGAATTTCATGACCAGCTGTGGCGCCCTGGCATGCTGCTGTATTTCATCATTTCTGTGATGACGTCTCCTGGCCCCCACACCAGGCACCCTGACCTGCTCTTCCCTGCCTTGTGTCTCACACCCACCCCACTGGTCCTCTCCTGTGTGCTCAGTGTTCAGCTCTACCATTTGCTTTCAAATCAAATGTTTGGGCTAAAGGTCTCTTACCCCAGAAGAGCTCTGTGCTCTTAGAATTAAATTCCTGGTTCTTCAATGAATATACATTTATGTCAAAGTAATACAGAAGTGGATTCCTGATTATTTAATAAAACAGAGTAAAATACTGCTTTTGTTTCTGTTCATTACTTAAGTATTGATATCCATTGTAGTCATGGTTGTGAAGCCATAATTAAGTGCTCCTCAATTCAGGAAGTTTAAAAAACACTGAGAATTTTATTAGTATGACAGGCAAATTCGATTTTATAATACACATTGAATCATAATAACCAACCCATATAATAGAAAACATGTATTACTTTACTACATGGTGAAAATACTCGTCTAGAATATTATTTATGTACTTATTTTTAATGATGATATTGCCATCTTTATTTAAAAAGAAAGTTATGGAATTAATCATCTATCCAGAGAAAGCAGACAATCTGTTAGAGCAGGGTGTGGGAAGGGCTTGATTTTGTCTCTGTCTAATGTCTCATGATAGGAAGAAACAAAGTCTGTAATCATGATGGCTACAGTACATGGTCTCCAACAGCCAAACTATGTCCACCTGAGACAACCAGTAACACAGTGTAGGAGACCACACCCTTCCAGCAGTCCAGCCCTCCTCATGGCTTTCGCCTGACTCTTCCTGCTAAGTCCCCAGTTTACATCTCTGATACTTTCTGCTCTTCGCATCACACAGCCTCATATCTTCTCTACTGTTTGAAACGCACCATCCTGAAACCTTCCACACCAAGTTGGCTCCTTTCCTGGGCTCACTGCTTTTGAGCTGCACCCCATGACTTGGGCAGAGAGTAAAGGTGGTGCTCTTCCTTCATGCAGCAGCATCATCTCATGCTCCTTTATTTTCATTCCTAATGCTTCTTTGTATCATTTTTCTTTTCTACTATATTAACTCACCTTAAAGGCTTTATTTCTGATTTTTAATTTCTTGGTACATATTAATTCATTTTTTAAAAGCAATTAAATTTGTCAAAAAACAGAATTTCTACCATTATTTTACTATTAATATTTTACTCAATGAAATTCTGATTTCTTGGCCCATACCCTGTAATCATTGTTATAAGTACTATGGGAGAATTCCAGACATTTAAAATTATTGTTGATATGCAAACAACAAACAGAATTATTTTATCAACAAAAGTGGTATTATTTTATATGCACGTCTGTGCAACTCATTGTTTTCACTCAGAATCTTTGGATACATTCACAGTGATACATATAGAAATAGTTCATTCCTTTGAACTTCTTTATATGATAAGAATAAATTATATATTTAGGTTTCTTTTTATATGTATTAAAGCTTGATATTTTTAAAATTACAAAAATATCAATAATATCCTTGCACAACTATCTTTATATTTACATGTTTAGATGTCTAAGAAGAAAAATGCTAGATTGAATGACATAGATGTCTTCATTTTTATAATCCCTTTAAAGAGTTACAGTAATTATGAATTATCTGTATCTTGTCTCTTTTCCTAAATATGCTTTATTTTTCCTCTCTCTCTCTTCCCCTTCCTCCTTTGTTATCCCAGTGCAATTCCATGCATCTATTTTATTAAGCTTAACATTGATCATATTTTATTTTTCTGTGTGTCCTCCATTTCATTCCATTGTAGAATTCTCTCTATAACTAAGGAAACGATTAGCCTTTTGCCTGTAGTACCTGTTTCAGATGTCTTTTCCAAAGGAAGATTAACCATGCCCCTCCACTCAAGGCTAGTGTTTTAACTTGTCTAGAGTAAAAATTCAGTGGAAGCAAAGGCCAAGCTGGAGATCGTTAAAATGAGGCTAGAGGATTGACAGAACAAAGAGCCTTTTTATGTGAGATGAATTCACAGAAAGAGTTCTATCCTCCAAAGCCATGCCTGTGCAGCATCTCTGACTTTGATAACTATCCCATAGAATTCAGTGAATAGAAAGAGATTGATGGATCATTAAACAATCCAAAAACCTGTAATTGTAGAAAATTACTAAGTCTGTTGTAGCAGTTGGGTCTTCCATTGCATACTCAATGACATTTTCACACTGCAAACCTACATTAATAGAAAGTGGGCTAACAGAGATACACAGCATCTCTCTACTGTTGGCAGGAGCATCTTCCATAATGCTTGTCTGATAGGAGTAATGGATAAGGAGCCAGGGGTTAATTGATTATAATCTCATTCCTCTGTCAGGAGGGGTGCTTGGCAAAGGGATTAGCCTCATGCTTTAAGAACTATAAACACACTGAAAGCTTCTAAATTGGTACCTCCAGCATAGACCTCTACTCTAAATATTAGGCCACTGACCTTTCCACTTGCTTTTCTTGATCTTTTCCCTTCAAGCCTGTACCTTCCATAAATTTTTCCATCTAAGAAAACTGCAACATGCTATATTTCTAGCTCTTGCCAGAACCCTGTCACTATCATTATTTCTTCTCTTCCCCTCAAGCCTTGCAGCTCATCCTTTGGGAAATCATATTAGCTCTACCCTCAACATATATTCAGGCCACCTTTCACCAGTTCCCCCCAGTAGTGCCCTAGTAGAAGCATGATCATATTTTCTTTGGGTCTCTGAAGTAGCTTCTCTATGGGAGGACCTGTCTGCAGCCCTCTCTATTTGTGCTCACCACAGAAGCTATGGCGAGCCCAATGAAACAGAAACCAGATTCAGTCACTCCTCTGGCTCCCTGCCTTCCAGTACCTCTACAAGAGATAAGGGGCTTCCAGTGATCTCCAAGACCCGTCCCTGTTGGCTTAGCTTTATTGCCTGCTCCTCTATGCTTCAGCAACACAACTGCATTGCTCTCCATGTCTCCAGAGCAGGGCTCTGTCACAAAACCCTCTCTGCTCATGAAGCTTGTTCACAGTGACACTTTCCCAGCCTACCTAGTCTAAAATCCATAACTTTTCATATACCTACTCTATCAATTTTCTAATGTTTCACTATATTGAGCAACGCTGAACTTCTTGTTGACTTTTATTTTTTTTTAATTATTCTTATTTTTCTATAGGAATGGAGACTCCAGGAGAAAAGGATTTCTAATCTATTTTGTTCACTATCATAAATCCATTGCTTATCATACAACTATTGCATAACTATTTTTGTATTTACATGTTTAAACATTTAAGAAGAAAAATGCTAGATTGTATGATATAGATGGCTTCATTTTTATATTCCCTTTAAAGAGTTGTGGTCATCATGAATTATATGTATCTTGTTGTCTGTTTTGCTATATACATACCTTATTCATTCTCTCTCTCTCTCTGTCTCCCCCCCCCCCCGGTACTTAGGGAGCTCAGTACACTTTGAATGCATGAAATAAAAGAATGAATGAATGAACCAAGGAAAGAATTTTGTTAGCCAGGCTATGACACAAGGTATAGACAACATATCAGTCTCTGCTGTTTTATATCCTAGTTTTCCAAGTGGGAGTTTTTGTTGCAGTTATTCTGAAAACAAAAAGATGCTACAGATTGTGGGTGGCACTTTATTTTGGCATCATAACTTTAGACATTAACATTTTATTTTGCATACATTTCTTCAAATAATGTCAGAGCCATTTGAGTCATGTGGATTTTTAAAGTCTTAGTCTGAGGAAATTTGTGAAATTGCATTCAGTTTTGGCCACTAATGAGACAGTTTAAATGTATACAATAGTGTTTCCTAATCTTTATGTTCATGAATTCCTTTGAGAATCTGTTGAAAGCTTTTATATATACTTTCACATCACTTCAAAATAGGATGAAAGATGGTTAGCAGGCATAAACACAGTACAAGAGATTTTTTCAAAAAATAATCAAATAAGGCAACAAAGCCAGTGAAAAAATAAAGAATGAAGAAAACGATGCAATTAAAGCTGATGTTAATACACAATGTGTTACTGAAACTCTCTGGAGTCATTTTTGCTAAATTTATTATTCAGAGCATCATGGTTTCCAAGAATAATGAAATAAGAATAATCAAACTTCTGTATTTTATGCTTCTAGATAACAGAGAATATTTTATTGTATCCATAATAAAATTATAAAGTAGATTGTAGAACATTTTTCCAAAATAATATATAATAATATACATTACAATTAGAAGTATATTACAAGCAGTACAAGCATCAGGACATAAAGATAAACTGGTGGAAATAAATAGAAGAAATTTTATAACCAAAATGTTATAAAATTGAGATATTTAAATTTGTGGGCAAATTATAGGTTACTTAATGAATGGTATTAAAACAAGTGGAAAATTTTTTCTAAAAACAAAATTGTTTTGATCACTTCTTTATTTCTTGTAACAAAATAAATTTTAGCCAGGGTTTTTCACTGGCTTTTTTTTTTTTTTCTTTTCTGAGACAGGGTCTTACTTCGTAGGTCAGTCTGGCCCTGAACCTACTATGTTGCCCAAATTGGCCTCGAACTCACAGCAGTCATCTTTTCTCAGCCTCCTGAGTGCTAGAACTACAGACATGCACCACTATGTCCAGCTCTAGCCAGGTTCATTTTGAATGTAAAAATAAAATAATAAAAACCTTAAAAGGAATGTTTGCATTTATTTAAATGCATGATAGGAAAGGTTCTCCAGTGCATATCTCTGAGAACCAAAAAAAAAAAAAAAAAAAGACTGTTAGCTTCAATTACTTAAATTTGACTTAAAAGTCAAAACCTTGTAGCAAAAACATAAAAAGAAAAATATAGAAAGAGAGATGTCTATATATTTATAAAATGGTTATATAAATGGACACATATTTAATAGAAAGACACATGGATAAATGTTAGGAAAGGGACCTTAGAAATTATTAAGAAAACATGAGTAGTGTAATAGAGAAGAAACAAGCAAATGGCATAAACGAAAAAATCCTTCACAGAAGTTCAACTATTGACACAAGCACATGGAAAACATTCAATTATCTTAATGAACAAATAAAGGCAAATGAAAATACTGTGATACCACTGAATCTGATAAAGACAGAAAAATAATAACCACTGTTGATGTGGTTGTAAGAAACTGGTTCTGTCCTTTATTATTGTGTGTTGTGAATACAAGTTCAAAATTTCAGGAGGTGTAACAGTATATAAAAAATCCATTGGCTCTAATCAGTCTCAGTATTTTATAA